CGTGCAGAAAGTAGCACTTTTCCGCCCGCGTGATGAAAGTGAGTACTTTCCGCATGCTGTATGAAGAAATCTCATACCTAACACTTGCGGAAAGTGATACTTTTCCGCACGCGAGGCCGTCAAGATAAATAACTATTACAAGTTCCCTAGAGATTCTTTTTTTTCGAGACGTAACAGGCTTTTTGAGTGAACCATGTTCACTTAAATTTCAAGCCAAGAAATGGACTTATAAGTCAACGCCAAACAAAGTGGCGTGCACGTCATCACGATAAAAATTCCCCGACCTAATGCCTAGGTTTCTATCACAAACAATTGCTCTATTGCAGTTTCATATTAATGTGATATATAAATTGTAAAATGGTCATTACTCTCTTATTATGGTTAATAGTCATATAAACATTGTTATTAAAATATCACATAAGTTGCTTTCTGATAAATTTAGACGCATTATGCGAATAAAATGTTTTGCAAACGCTCCAATCACTTATCGACATGTAAACGCACTAAACCGATTTCGCAGCGTTGACACATTGTCACCTTGAAACTTATTTAAACTGGGAACTGACATTTGTATTAATTTTGACACTGAATCAATTTGTGGCATTTCAAATCTTTATAAATCCTTTGGCCCCGCATACTGTAAATCAACAACTCTTTGTTTCAAAACAAAATTATTCATTTTACGAGTAGATAAAGGCAATTTTGGTATATAAAGATGCCCAAACAGTTAAATAGTCGGTGTAAGGAACTCGTGGCCTCGTTAATGCACTACTTTGAGCAAGAAAGGGACAACAACGGGCCTTTGTTGCCTTTAAATGCTGTTCAAGAGGTAGGTTACTAATAATTATATGTAATGTATATTAATAATAGTGAAATTTTATTTCATTTTTTGTAGCGTGTTGCTGCTGCTTTAAAAATTAGTTTAAGGACAGTTAGTCGTATTTCCGAGGGTGTGAAAAGTGATGCAAATTTAGAATCGCCCAAGAAAAAGCGGAGTTATATTAAACGTGTAACCAACACAGCGACATTGGATACAAGTGCCATTCGAGAAGTGATCTATAATATGTATCACAAAAGTAAGATCTTATTATAATAACTTATCAGAAATTTGCATTAATTTGTTAACTAAATTATAATGTCATATTACACATGGTTTCAGAAGAACAAGTTACGATACAAACTTTATGGTCTCGATTAAGAGATAGGGCATTATTTGATGGTAGTGCCACGTCTTTAAGGCGGTTGCTTAGAGATCTTGGATTTAAGTGGCTTAAGGACAATCCGCGACGAGGGCTCATGGAACTACCAAGTATAGCTTTGAAAAGGGTGGAATTTCTAAGGCAATACAATCAAGCCAAGGTTGAGGCCTTATACCAGTTTGTCTTCCTCGATGAAACTTGGATATTTCAAAATGGGACCATAGGTCGCTCTTGGCAAAATGGAAACCAAAAAAGCGTGAAAGCTATTAAAACAGATGGTAAAAGGTATGTACACAATTTGCACTATAAAATTTAAAACTAATATATTTTAGATACATTATATTACATGCTGGAAATGAAAATGGGTTTATTGAGGGTAGTGAAGCGATATTTTCTTCGAAAACAAAATTGAGCGATTACCATGGAGAGATGAACCAGGACAATTTTGTGAAATGGTTTCAACATCAGTTATTAGAAAAATTGGAGAGTCCATCTATGATTATACTGGATAACGCCCCTTATCACAGCATGATATTGAACAAAGTGCCCAACAATGCATGGACAAAAAAAAATATCCAAGACTGGTTGACAAATCAAAACATACCATTTTTAAACACAATGTTTAAAACAGAGCTATTGAGTATTGTTGCTCGGTACATAATGCTTCTTAATTATATATATTTTGGTCGACAGTTTATATTTCTTTTGTTTATTCCTATTCTTAAAATAACTGCTTTTTTAGAAACAAACCACCTAAAATATACGTGATTGATGAATTGGCGGAACAACATGGGCACAAAGTTCTTCGTCTGCCTCCTTACCATTGTATATTTAACCCTATTGAGTTAATTTGGGGCATAGCAAAAGGTTACTATAACAGACATATTGGTAGAGATGGTAACAGTGAAAAAGACTGTTTGGATATGTGGAACGAGGCTCTACAAACGGTTACCCCAGACATGTGGAAAAATAGTGTTCGACATACTGAGCAAGAAATGTTTAAATGGTATGAAAGAGAACGAATTTTTGATCGACCAGACATCGAACCTTTAATAATCAACTTTGAGAGTGATGAAGATTCAGATTCAGACAGCGCTGAAGAAAGAAACTCCGACTAACTTTATTGTACAGAAAAAGCTTACACCAGTAGCTTACCTAATTTTAGAATGCATTTTGCTGCATGAATTCTGTAAAATAAATACCATGCATAAAATTTGGAGGACCCCATTTGGATTTTTATTCAGTACCTTTAAGCTATCAATTAAATATGGTAGTTTCATAGTGTCATCTGATCAATAATTGTCATACTTAATGATTATGCAAGTACAGATCTATAATTTTATTATACTATTATTTTTGTTCTCATTTGAGGTTAATATTGCTTATAAACCTAGATATGTAAATAATAAATTTTATTATTTTACAAAAAGTTGGCAACAATGTAAATTTTTCAACACATCCACCTTGATGACGTGCACGCCACTTTGTTTGGCGTTGACTATACTTGGATGCTTTCTTTCGGTAAAAATGTGGCACGTCAGCGTACCGAACTTTTCTTCATTGATTAAATGACCGCCTGGCATCTTTGTCAATACTGGAGCAATATCAACAATTCACAATAACAGCAATACTCGGTGATAGGTATTTATGTCAAGCATTTGTTTGCAACGCCTACTTAAAAAAGGAAAACACATTTTTCCTTATAACCAAATAAAATAAATAATAAATAAAAAGATACATCGTTGAATTCATATAAAATGCTATAAGATACGATTTGTACTTTTTTCGTACCATATAAAAAAATAAAGTTGATGATGGTTTCTCAAAAAGGAACCGTCGGGCACAAGTTTTAAAAACTATCATGTAGTACCTAAACAGTTCCAATGGAAAAGTCAGAAAAAATAAAAATGATTTGGCCACATATTAGCTATATGTTTGCCTTGGAATTTTTACAAGTTTCTCAACGGCATGTAAATACGCCCTTAAGACCGCAACGTTTTCCTAATTTAACCTATGCTGTATCTCCCACAGGTTCTGAGATCCTCATGCATAGGATCCTTATCTTGGACACCTTGTATATGGTTACAGTAATTTGTTTGCTATTTACATGCTTACCATTTTTATCTCGAAAACGTGCAATTGTGTCGAAGATTAACGTTATCAAACGGAATTGTATTCGGTAAATGAAAATAAAAATGACGTGATTTTCATACATTTCGCAACAAAGGGTGTGTGCTATTACAAACGAATGGCATCCAAGTTCCAGATATGGTGATCCAGCACCACCAAATATGAGCTTATTTCTTATTATCGTATAAGAAATACAACCCTTGATTTATGAAGTATGTGTATATCTTAGCTCGACGATTGGTACCAGTAAAGCGGACTAATGACCAGAAGTTCGCACATGCGTGGCAGAACGTTCAAATTACAAACGTGCAGGTTTTTTCATGAAAAAATATAAGGAAACTGGATAAAACATAACATGATGACACATGATTTTCTATTACCATAAATTATTGCCTTGCCTATACACCATAAACCTCGAGATTTCTGAACAATATCAAGATTAATTACTAATAATCCTATATCCTATTATTAGTAAGTCATTATTCACATTTCCGTTTGTATACTGCAATATAGTCGAAATTGTGTAACATTATTTATGTTTCCCTTGTTATGGGTTAGACGAAAATGTCAAGGATTCAATATGATCAGCTCAAGTGAAGATTTGGAATATTTGGTTCAGAATATATATAGTAAATCGTATACTGGGGATATTTAAGCGATAAAGGAGATGCTTTATAGAAATAAGATAGCACCTAGCGCCATCTATTACCAGAATCGACATCTGAGAGTAATTAGATGATATCGGTTGGAACTGTAAAGATCTCAGTTCACGTTTGATAGACCAGCTACTATGACGTCTAGAGGCTGACGATTTAGGCGGTACAGTAGATGTGGTCTACTCGCCATTGAAGAACTGAACAATGATCGAAAGTATAGCAACTGTCCCCTATCAGAGGTATGAAATCTATCGAAAGTACAAAATAGTTGTCCATTGTTGGCTGTATGTGGTCGGACGGATGAAAGGCTTATCTTCAAAAAAGATAATGATTTCTAAATGTATCTAAACAGTTTTCGTTGTCCCGTCATTTTACGAATTTTCTGATAAAATGAGGCTGTTGAATATTTTTAAATAGTATTTTTTTACAGTGTCTGATCAAGGAACTAAAAAGTGAGCTGAGAGGAAATTTTGAAGATGTGATAGTAGCCTTAATGACAGAACCAGTAGAAATTTCTTGCCAAAGAATTACACAAAGCTATCAGTGGACTAGGCACCGAAGAATCTACTATAGTTGAAATTCTGGGAATTCACAATAATGATGAGATAATTAGGATCTCAAATTGTTATGAAGGATGTAAGTATATTATTTACTTCCAGGTTCCTAGATACTTTGACCAATCTTCGAAAAATAACACACACACACAGAGAGAGAGAGAGAAAGTGAGTGATGATAATAGAGAGAAAATGTTAGGTATTGATTAACGTATTACACCTGAAGATATCCAATTAAAATAGACATTAGAGCGGCGCCAAAAAGGGATTGAAGATCCTAGGAGTCATCTATGAAAAAATAAAAAAACCAAATAGTTTTTTGTTCTGCTACTATCTGACAGATGGCGTTGGGATCTTTCAGATCTCATTTTGGATGCTGAAATGCAGCATGCGGTTGAGATATAATAAAATAATCAATGGTAGTGGCAGCGAATGTCAAAATCGATAGTTGAGAGTCGTCACCATGCCATCCCAGTAAGGGAGGACGACTATTCGCAAAAATATTAACGTCTACAGGGATAGCAGAAGGGAACACTGATCTTCAAGTACTGCAAACTCATAACAAGAGCAGTGCTAAATTGTTACGGGACGTGCTACCAATATAACTGTTCGAAAAATGGCTACTAGAATCAGCATTGTGAGTCCAGCGTATCCGTCTTCATTCTTATTGGAGTTATGTCAATTATGCTAAGAAAGCATAAATTCAGGAATACCACGGATGAAACTTCTGTCTGTTCATTTGCTAAAGAATCCCTCAGCCACCCTAGTCATCAAGTAAATGCGAAACACTACATGTCCCTCATGCTCGCTGTATAATATACAAGAAGTACTATTCTGATTTCTATTTTTGTCTTTTTGCAGTATATCAAACAAGCCTAGAAGCAGATATTAAAGGAGACACATCTGGAACACTAAGAAAACTTCTAGTAGCTATGTCAACAGTAAGTAGTTTTTATTATAAAACTATGACGTTCAGCTGATTGTTCAACGGCTAAGGCAAAAATTAGTTTACAAGTGCATTTTTTAAAATGGCGTTATGTAAATTGACTCTATACTTTCCTTGCCTTTAAAAAAACTTCTAGGTAGCACAATTTTCCGTGTAATGTAGTGGCATGAAAAACCATGAGTGTACTATTTGGGCTTTCCAAAATTCTTCAGATTGCAGCAATGAGCGTGTCCGTACACGGTAGCCTCGTTTCTTTGGAGCTCTAGTGTAAAACTGTTTGTCAACAATGTTTGATACCTGATAATAATAGCTCTTGATTCGTACAATACTACCGAAATCAAGTAACCTCACAAAATTACACTCCAAGCATACTGCTCGTATATATGTAGATCATATACATATAGATGATATCGCGCCCACCTTGTGTATGTACATATATATCGCAACCATGAATTTGGCAATGCTACTATAATTCGAGATCGAGACGGATAGTAATACAGATATATGCAGATCAGGGGGGTGAAACGTCTGATGGGCGAACTGGCAACACCAAGGTTAGACTCTCCAGGCAAAATCGAGATAACTGTATTACCGGCATCACGTGACGTGGTGCTTGCCGGGATTCAGGGTTGCCAGGCGTGGCGATTTCTCGCCAAAGTGGCGATTTGACGGCTTCAAATGGATATTTTGGCGATTTGCTGCTTTAATGGCGATTTTTAACAATTCTGACGCCAATTAATTTGTAATCAATGTTTGCTCATATGTGTATACAGGGAAACAAATTTTTTTTGACGGCTTGAATTCAATGCGTTCGAGAGAGAAACGCGAGAAGTGTGTATCAACACATGTTCGGAAGAGGTATAAACCGGCTGAAGAGCGAAGGTCATCAGCACATTGTCTAACGATGGTGACTCAGAAAGTCGTGCAATCTACCGAGTTGCCAGAAAATATTCGCACAGGCTTCTACAATAGGTTAGGTTACTGGAAAACCCAAGAAGAAGGTCTGTTCGAACATTTAATCTAATATTTGGTTTTCATTCTGATTAAAATTATTTTTTTCAATTTTGATGCGAATTAGTGTTTCAATTTATTTTAGAATTATCTTTGATTTCCATCAATAGTGATAAAATCAACACATCCTGAGTTATTGTTACATTTTGCGCCAGCGAGCGGACGGGATATGTAACGAATAACATTAAGCAATACAAGTGTCATAAGCCAGCGTGAACGCAGGAAAAAACCATTTCGAAGTAGGACGACACTCCCCAATGAGCGTTTCTTCGGTACTGACCAAAATCGCAAATATATTATCATGCAGATGAAAATCTTGCCTTGGAATGTATGACATGCGCTGTTGCCAAGCGAACCAATGTTGCAGAATTTGTGCCCATCCTGACCTTTCATTTTGATCTGAAATGGAGCGCCGTTAAAATCGATCCGCACGGGTATTTTGTAAAAAACCTATAAGACGTCAAAAAACCTATAAAATATCATCTTGCAGATTACATAGTCTTTAGGGTGCAAACAGTCATTCCGCGTTTGCTCACTAGGATCTTTGTGAGCGTCCTTCTATGGAGGAATGGCCCAACTGCATGCATTGTTGGTTGCATATGTTTTGTGAAGCCAAGTAGTCTGTAGATTTTATTTCTGAGCATAAAATTGATTGAATAGCAAGATCGCATCTGAATGATTGTGTGTATTGGTCTGCAAGTGTATAAAATCAGTGATATTTGCTGCGTGAGATAATTACCAAATATGCTGCCAATGAAGGATATCTATTAGCTGTGCTCGACACGGGTTATTTATATGTTGTCCTTTCTGAAGACATGTTATGTTCAAAGCTATAAATTAAGATTTTTTACGTTCTTTTGTGTTTACAAAAACTTTGAGGAGAATTAAGCCACATCACAGAAAAATTAGTAATGACGCATCACAAATCAAACATTTCCGCAATGCCTCACATCTAGGCGCTGATTGTAATTTCTATTGACATAGCAAAATTAACTTCTATAAAATTTTAATGTCTGGAACTAAAAAATAATTTAATGACCTTTTCACTTTCTTAAATATTCCAGTCTGTAACATATTTTCTCACCTGTTACTTCACCAACCAGAGACTTTCTTTTCTTATCTCTCTGATTTTTGAAACTCAAATGCATATGTAATTTCGAGAATGGATAACAAAAATTGGATGCGCCACTAATTTCTAGCTTTGAATCTCAAGCAAGTGTATTTGAGACAAGAATCCATTGGAATTATCAACACATATCTAGCACAGAAATACTCACTATCCAACTATGCACTGCCGTTTCCTCCCAGCTATAGTAATCAACTTACAGCTTCCAGTAATGCCATCTCTGAAGCAGATTTTACATCACATGAGAGCCAAACATTGATAACTGAAGCCTCATGATGTTTAGGCAACACGTACAACGACAAAACGAGTTCACAACGTGTCCATCAGCTAGTGCTAAAATAACATCTTGTAGAAAAACCTGCATAATGTTACGTCTCCTGATCAGTCGCCGAGCGCTGCGAGAGTTCGAATCCCGTCCCAAGAGAAATTTTTCTCTTGGCTATGGTGTGATTGTCCGTAGGTGGTAGACGGTCTCTGACTGTCGTACGCGGCGGTACCACCCGGCGGATCAGGTAGGCGGGGCTAGAATGTGTGCATGCTGCAAGCATACGTGTTCCCTCGCTAAAGTCCGTGTGACTGTAAACTCTCAAAATAAAACCATTATTTGAACGTAAAGAATAAACTAAAGCATATTTTCAACATGCATCTTAATTCAAGGAATTGGTGTAGCAAATATGTGTATTGGTAAGGCGGTGATGAGCTCCGCTAACCTATCTCATTCTAACATATGTGTCTATACAAACTTCTCTCTTGTACACATTGCACTCAAGCCGTCAAACAAATTTGGTTCTCAGGGTATGACAGTTTCTTTAGATACTGCTTGATCCGAAAAAAAAATAACGAAATACTATTTTAGGGGCACAGAGATGAGTCTGATGTAGTAGATCCCGAAGCGGCTTTCAAAGATGCTCAAAGCTTACTTCAAGCCGGAGAACTGTTGTTCGCAGGAACAGAAGAGTCTGTATTCAACTGTATATTATGCCAAAGGAATAAAAAACAACTCAGGTGAGTCGAACGGAATCAAAACATGCTTAAAACTTCAGTCCTTCACAGATGGATGGCTGACTTATCCCCTAACTATAAAACGTCCGACTATAGTGTTTATCAACCCGCGTGTTCCCCAAGGATGCAGCACTGTGTCTGTTGCGCATAAACGACCTTCCTTTCTTCAAAATAGTCTAATCTGTAGCTTTGCGAGAGAAAGCACTGTGAATGAAGGCACTCTCGCTAGTCCTAGAGATTATCTCTATTTACAGAAGCAATAATTTGGTGTAATTTGATGCTCAATAGCAGATTACTGAAAGTTTAACTTGAGTCATTTCAACCGAAACAAGCTTAGTATTATCTGACACTTACACACGAAGTTCTAGGAAGTTAAGCTGACTCTAGTTACTTGGCATTTTGAAACAGTGTTGGAATTTCCCATTATTAATTTGAAATTTGGAAGAGTTCCAACTTACAGCTAAGATCATTGAACAGCATGATAAGTCTCAACAGTGGCGTAGGTAATACAGCCCGACCACAGTGAGCCGACACACCCCTTGAATCTGAATCCGTGGTTCAAATCTCTTAATAAGGGTACAAAATAGCAGTTGTTGGGGCGAATTATTTTTTTTTTCAAAAAAAAACACAGACATTTCAAAGTATAAGCCTTGTCCTTTCGAATGTCGTTAGCTTTTCTCATATACTCGTATCTTTTTATTCCGCTGAGATATGGCACTTTGAAATTTTAATTCTTCTGATCCTCACTATATTTGATACTCTACGCGTTCAGTTTTTATCAGAAGAAAGTATATTATCCATTTTGAAAAAGTGTGCAATCGAAAGTAAGATAGTGAAACTCAGCCTTGATGGGTGGATTGTGGGCTTATGGTTTTCGAGTAAATTTTAGATATATGGATTTAGTGTTGAGGAATCATGGAATTTTTAGGTGGCAAGTCTTATCTCATAAAAAGACCTGAACGACCATATCTCAACGTTAAATAAATAAATAAATGTTTTTTTTTTTTTGGAAAAAATAATAAATCGTCATGCTACATAACGTCAAATATTGGCAAAAATCGGTACAGTATTTTGCACGAGTATCCATTACGATAGAATGACAGCTGATTGTCTAGTAATATTCCAAAATTCCCCATATCGCCAAGGATACATAATTCTGACGGATCCATCAATGCCAGGTAGAAGGAGCTATATTTTGTTTTGCTTTTTTGTACGCTACAGATACATTTTGTACTTGCTAAAAGCTCTTCTATTTAGAAAAGTTCGTTAGCATGCAAAAACAAAATGCTACAAACATGTTTTACTAGATTTACACCCGATTCATTATTGCCAACGTTGCAGACTAACACAAACATGTCACTTGCTGATCAGCTGTTCAACTCAGTAGACGTTAAAGCGTGATGGATACTCGTGAAATAGGGTATATTTTTGTACTTTTAGGTTGAGATACCCCTGAAACTAGATCTAATTTAGAGATTTGGACCATGCACTCGGATTCAGTGCATCAAAAAACTTCGGGAAGAGTACAAATCTTAGCGGATCTTTGAAGCCCTACCCACTTTCCGTAACTTAATTATTCTACTCTTCAATAACAACTGTCAGAGCGATCAGTCAACCACCTAGCTTGGCTTTGCTAAAGAAAATTCTGGAATTTAAAGCTGATCTGTAATTGTTCTTAATATTTTCCAGATGCATTTTTGACAAGTACGAAGAAAACGTCGGCCACCCAATAGAGAAAGCAATCCAAAACGAATTTTCTGGAGCAGCCAAAGATGCCATGTTGCAACTCATCCACTGCATCAGAGACAAAACGGACTACCTGGTGACAAGGCTGCATGACTCCATGGCCGGTATTGGTACGGATGACAGGACGCTGATAAGGATCGTCGTGTCAAGATCTGAGATTGATTTGGTGGAGATCAAGCAGGCTTACGAACTAAAGTATGGGAAGAGCTTGGCTGATGCTATTTCGGTTAGTATTTTTGAACAATAAAAAAATATGAGTTGCGTGGGGGTGAAATTGATTCCTGTCTGTGTAGGTCTTTTCACGATTTTTGACGAGTCATCTGCTTCACACATACAGATGCAATCGGTCTCTATGCATAGATTTTTTTGACACCGCGCAACCGCGCCTAAATGCCAGGGCACCGCGGGTACCATCAGGAGCTTAAAACACTCTTTTATTCCGATTCTTGAACTGCCTAAGGTAGATCTGGGAAAAGACTCGTCATATATATTGGTCCCCAATCTCAACAGCCTAGAGACAAATGAACGGCTGTAACGCTCAGTTCTGGATGTAGGAAGTTCGATACGGTTGGCATGGGAGGCCGAAGTCACTCGGGTCTGTCTGACAAGCACATTGAGCGGTGGTATCATGGAGGAGAGCTCTGAGCGGCAAAGCTCATTTTGCTGTAGCGGTATAAAAGAGCTAGGTCGCCGACGGGCCGTCAGTGCGAGAGGGTCTCGAAACTGTCCGGTAGGGAAAAGTCATCGATCAGTCGGATAGCCCTCCTCTAAACAGCATCAACCATGAACATGTGAGCCAATACTCGATGATACGGCTTTTTGAAACAATTCGGCCATCCATCGAAACCGGATAAGGACGCTTTTTGTTCGTCCAGGTAGGTTTTAGAAGCATTAAACTGTACAAGATTGTTGTGTTTCCAAGCTGTGATAACATCCAGGTCTCTTGTCAGAGAGGCAGTTTCTGCTAGTCTTCTTTTCTCCAGCTCGCTGGCAGAGATCCGTCTGTCACTCTGAATTCCTGCATGTAGTGCTGTCATCAACAAAGCTGTGGATTGGATTGAACGTGCTGGAAAGGAGTTCGTTGATATGTAAGAGGAACCGTGTTGGAGCCATGATTGAGCCCTGGGAAATACCCGCGTTGACTTTGTGTTATGAAGAGTAAAACCCGTCAATTACGACGGATCTCGCGGCCAGAAAGTCAGCCACCTATCTGGAAGGCCATAGGATGGGAGTTTGCATGCATCAGCTGATCGAATGCCTTCGTGATATCAAGAGCAACGACATGAGCCACGCCTTAAGACTGAATGAGTTTACTCTACTAGTGCGTGAAGTAAGCTAGGAGGTCGTCTGTGGATCGCTGGTGCGGGAAACCATACTGCATGTCGCTAATCAAGCACTGACATTATATGTACTTCAGAAGGTCCCACTCCTACACCTTACTTATGACAGAAAGTAGAGCTATAGGCCTTTAGTTGTAAGGGTCGGTCTTAGATCCTTTTTTGGGATGGGTTGGACATGAGCAAAATTTCCAGTTTTGTGGGACGGTGCCGGATTCGTAAGATATCTGGAAGAGACGCGACAAAACTGGAGCAACCTCCGCTGCTCAAAGACATACGTTTTTCTTAGTTTTGTCTCACTGCTATAAAAAATTCCTTGTCCACATCTTTGCGTCTCACTGGCAGTACGACAAATTACTTGTCATAGGCGTTCTGTTTGTGTTTACAGATGTCGATCTTCGTTGAACATAAATCGGCAATGTCTAAAATCTATCTTAAGCATTTTCAGAAAGTGAGTGAAAACAGCGGTCCTCTATCTCCCAATTTATGTGTGTGTGGAAGAGCTGTGTTACGCAGAGTACAATTTCACTTAGGAAAGTTAAGCTGCACACATGGTACCATCCCTTTACGTATTTCGTATGTATGGCATTGTGAAGTAACCGCCAAAAGCCGTGAAATGAACTATATGCTCAGAAGCAGTTGGAAGAGAGATTGGCTGCCTGTGACCCTTCTATCGTTTGAATCCGTTTTTCTTTACGAAAAAGCTTGCCTCACATCTTTTTTATCTACGATTGGGCGGTAATCCCGGCTTCGCTTCGGAATGTTTAACCCAAGGGTTTCTTCACGCCGTATAAAGTAACCTTAGCGCCGTCCACTTGGAAGCTACACTAGATTTTTTACTAACTCTGTTGCCGATCGTAGATAAAATGCTGTATGTATCTTAGATGAAAGGTGGGCGTTTTTGTCCACAGGCGTTCTTAGGCCTGCGATGCGTCATATCTTTTGTGCTCTAACTTCAGGTCTAAAGTCAAAAACACCCACTCTATGCCCCAGATACAAATAATTTGTAGGTGTTTCAACCACTTTTTTCTTCTTTATATCAAATATTTTACAAACTACGAGTATAGTCATCACTGTCAACATTTTTACTTCCCATTGTAATCGCAAAACATTTAGAAAATGACGTACTATGTTTCTGGATTTTATCTAAAACCATGTCACTCATTTCCGTTGGTCTGTCGCTTTGTAGTAGGTGTGTGTGTTTGCTAATCCTCGGCCCGCCTATAGTTTGGAAAGTACTGGTCATGTTTTGATGAAATTTTGACACAAGGTTACTACTGTATCAAAAAATGCAAATCGCCAGTGACGGTGGCAAAAATGCCAAAAACGGAAAAATAAAAATAATTCAATTCCGTGGGGTCGCAGGGGGGTGGGGGAGGTGTATCGCAAATTTTGATGTCAATATATTAACACATTTCCAGCCCCGATAATACTAAGCACCTATAGGACATACTTCGCGCATCATATTTTTACCCGAACATTTGCCCTAAATACTACGATAGAAAAATGTTTTCGATCAGCATCTCTGCGTCTGCTGACTTCAACGGCCGTTGCTGGCGTGCCGGTTTGCGTATATGTCCTGCATGACTGGTATATTGCGAGCGCTCTGCGGCGTCTCATGCATCATGCTTTCAGATTTTGGGGAAGGGTGACGCGACGTTGCCAGATGGACGGTACTACGGATAGGATAGGCAACGAATGTTACGGACTAATTCTACGGACCTTATCGATAGACATAATCCGTTAATTTATCTGTTATACATGTTTGTTACTAACTTTTTCTTAGATTGTTCATCGGCTGCTGCTTTCGTTCGTCCTACCAAAGACAGCCAACCATGGACAGCTCTTTCGTGCTTATTTGGAAACTCATCAGCATGGTCTAGACTTGGTCTCTTGGACGACGAACGAAAGCATAGTATTAACTATCATCTCTTGAGGATATATGGTCTATGGTCTTATTTCTATAAAGTGTAACTGCTGCTGAATTTAAGCTCTTATGAACTGATGATGGCGTTGTGCGAGAAGTGTAGAGGGAACCCACTTGATGCCATTTTTGTAATTCTCCGAAAGTATTGTAAAATGCGAGGGAGGTTTTGCTCCAAAAAATTCCAAACAATAGTTTCATAACCCGTGAGCTACTTTACAGTGTCATGATTGAAGAGCTTTTGGGGCTGTAAGGTACTTAAACTTGACTTTATTTCGAGAAATAAAAGTTTTAAAGCTTTATGTAAATCCAAAAATGACATTTCCTTTTTTAATTTCATTTAAACTGCTGAAGGGTAATTTAAATATGGTTTGTTTCATTAACACATAATTTGACTGGTCTTTGTTAGCCGTAAAACAGTACACTTAATGAAAGACCCACTCCTTATCTGCCAGTGCCAATGGTACCAATTCCGTAAAACTTCTGTTTTTCTATTAGTACTATGTCAGATGCGTTCTCTATTTAGTAAAAATATAAATGTACTTGAAAGTTGAGGAAGGTCACAAGCACAAGAAGGGCATAATAAACCTCTCATCACAAAACTACATACTATTGACTCCTATTAAGTTATTTTCGGTCTACAATAGTCGTTCTCAAAAAGGATAATGATATATTATCTAGTGTTATTCTGAAACTAATGCAAAGAAATAATTTACCTACATCACAAAAGCATAAGGGACATCTATAATGGCAGTAAAGTTATAAGCCGCAAATTTATATAGTCGCCTGAGTCACTTGCTCAGAGTCACTATCAGAACTGTTATCAGTAGGAAGATAGTGCCTTTTCTTCACACTATCATCTGAACTGTCTTTACTTTCTGTATCATTGAAAGATCCTTTGTTTTCACTATCGACTAATTTAGATTTGGCGCCCATCTTGAGATTTAAGTGGCTTATAGCTTTCTTGGCATGAAAATGTTAACTATCAGCGAATTGTCAGAACCCAACTTTGGATATACATAGATTCCTACGCAATGGGTGCTTTTAGATGGAAATTTGTTTTTTTTTTGTTAAAATGTGGCATACAGAACTACACCAGAGATGACAGCCTGTTAAAAATCAGGACATCAATTTGAGTTCTATATGCTTTTGGTAGGATTTCCGTCGGTCTCAACATTTGAAATCATCTAATATTTTATTTTCGTTTTCAGAAAGATACATCTGGGGACTACAAAAAAGCTTTGCTTTCCATCGTGGGTTAATGAATCATGAGTCATACATATTTACTTCTTCTTCATGCTTTTCTGTTTTGTGGTTATTCTATTTTTCATCACTTAAGTGTGCTTATCGATATCTCTACTCTGTTAGCTTTAAATGTGTTATACCTTTACGCTTTATGTGCTCAATATTCGTTGTACAGAATAAGTTTCCTTTTTTATTTAACTGAAACTGCATTACTTTAATCAGTTTTTGTTTTCATGTTCTTCAATGGTTTCAGGACGATGTGTCCGATGACTACAAAAAAGCACTTCTAGGTCTTATCGGAGATTGAAGAATTTAGGTTATGTAGATATTATCATGCATCATGAGTACTACTGACCACATACTTCATTGTGAACAAATTATAAATAAAAAATATTTTGATATCAGTATTGGTTTTTATATGACATCAAATTGTTGAAACAATGGTAAAAATAGTTATTTACTCAAGTCTTTTCGTATCAGTACTCATTTGATGAATGAATCCTTTGCAAAACATTGACAAACATTTTATTGGAAGTTACATCAGGCAAATTGAACATTTATGATATTGTATGGATGGAGTTTTCACAACTGGATTATAAGTGTATAATTCTCTTCTATCATTGGTCACAACCTGAAGATAGCCAATCTAATACTATATTACAGAATTTACAAAATTATCCAAGATGAATTAAGATGCCATGGCGTCAACTATGAGCATTTCATACAGCTATGTCTCCTCTCTGAAATAATTAGAAATCTACTTTGAAGAGGCTAGTGTCCTACAGATGGTGGTGTAGTCAACTATATGAGCACGAAGGAAGAACATACATGTTACATATGTTCTCATAGGTGACGCAATGGTATCTCATGTCATCACGGATGAGTTTTATGATGCTGGTATTTAATGTTAGGTTGGCCATCTTCAGGTGAGTTATAGTTTATTCACTGATACACAACAGTTACGTCATATTCAGTAAATTTGAACGCCCTCCTTAATGCAAAATAGATCCTAAATTGGTACGTATAGTTTGAATTTCCCGGGTTCATTTATGTTGGTAAAGTTTTCTGTGTTGTGACATTGTCGAAAAGCTTGTCAGGTAATTATGCCAACGGCTGTTGTTTATTTATGGTTTATTTCCGTTCTTCTTGCCTCAATACTTGCATTATTATTTTATGAAAAGTTTTTTCAAAACTTTGAGGTATCCTTTTAAGCATTTTGCTAAAATGCTGAAACCTCTGGGTCGACAACAGATTTCTTTGACGAAATATTTTGAGACCGAACGAGATCATGGAGCTCCATTATTGACTTTACAATCCGTAAGAGAAGTATTAGGTACCTAGGAAATATAATTCATACTAGCTCTAGTGTTTACAAAACATTCGCTCCGTAATGTTGGTTGTGGTAAGGCTTTGAAGACATAAAGTAGATTTTGTGAAATGTCCTAGGATCTAGTAGTTTTAATTAATGTGGCAACCATGTTCGTCACTGTCATTATTATTGATGAATGGTGAATTGTGATGTACCTAACTGCTTTGATCCATTGAATAAACTATACGTTAATCAATGCTTCTATTCTTGACACCTTGACAGTGGAGTCAATATTTTGCTAGTTTATTGTGCAAAGATTCACGAATAACGGATATTTTATTCCAAAAAGCGACGTTTTGGGAAATCGTTTGCTGTAATAAAAAAAATGTCTAGCTAGTTGACTAGGTCTAGTAGGTATACCGAAACTTAACAATGTTATTATCGAAGAATGTTCAAAAATAATCTTAAACACATATCTGCTTCAAAAAGCCAAAACCTCCAGATTTTTATGCACAAATTGGAGGTAATCCCCAGAATCTTGGCTCACTGCACAGTTGAATGCATGAAAATGTACTTCGTATCTTTGAAATGCAAAATCGCCTGGTCTATAAACATTACCCTATGTTAAGTTTAAGGGAAGGCTGACATAGATAGATGTGATTAAGTTATAATTCGGTCACAGTCATTCCCTCAAATGTCGTGTTGGGCGCGGAATAGAGAACAACACCCATTTCCTGCACGAAAAGATCAATGATAGAAAACACGCAACGGCATCAACAGGTCTTCCTCAAGGACAACCCATGTTTTTACTATTAAACTTCTGAGCTGTAGAGAATCGCCAGTGCTAGATGATCTATGCAGTATCAAGATCCAAGGCAATCCTAGGGAGCAAGAAAAAAAAAATAATAAAAATTAGCTTATTCAAATGGAAAAATAAAAAGTGAATGGTACAGACTATATAGCTTCTCTACCTTTTAATAGACGAGAGCAGTATGTTTGGCAGGTTTGGCTTGTACGATAGGCAAGTAGACCACATATACTATACCGCTAGAATCGTCAGCCTCTAACAGTCACAGTGGTTACTGGGCTACCAGGACCAATCGCAAACCGATAGATGTTATTCACTCTCGCTGTCGATTCTGGTAATAGATGGCGCTTTCAGCTGTCTTATTGCGATTACGAAAGCAAATTAAAAGTATCTTCTTAGCGATAATGGTAGCAAACAAAGAACAAGATATCAAGATGCGGTTTTAGCGATCTTGTTCAGACATCATTTAGCTACTTTCTCATAAAAAAATCATACCAGTACATTTAAGTTTTTGAGAATATTAACCATTTCTGTCGGAATGTCGAAAAAAGCCCTCTATGTAGCCCAAGAATAGCTCTTTTTAACTAGTCCAAGTTTGTTAAAGTCTGTTCAGCCGTTTCGAAGATACAAGGTGTTTTTTGCGGAAACCTTTGAATACCCCTACTTTATTTTTAGAGAGACAGCAAAAATTGTCAAAAAAAAGGCTCAGATTGTCCCCAAATTTCAAGATCAGGTATTTTTTAGAGTCAAGATGGCACTTACGCCCTCTAGTGGCCATTTCAGAAACATGAAAATATTTTCTAGGCTTTTCTCTTGGCCGTTTTAGTAATAACTGTTTTTGCCGCAAGCCTCTACGATGGATAGGTTCGAGATACAGTACCTCGCAGTATTAGTTGGCCACCCTGTACAACCAAAACCTTATATCAACGCTACTAGAGTTTTGTGCGTTTGGAAGGATTTCCGACGCTATCAACTGTTACTGTGACATTCAGAGATATTGGATTTACTTACTTCTATATTTGTTGGTGGTTATATTCAATATAAAAAGATCTCCAAGTGCATGTGGGCAACTGATTCTGTAGTTTGACGTTCTTGACGTCAATCTAAAGAAGCTTATAGATGGTTTGCCAAGTATTGATGACAAAGTTCCTCACATTACCGAAACTATTATTATGCTCTACAATATACATGCCCCATTGAAAAGAATTACTTCACGTAAGAACTACAGACCTTATGTGACATATACAATCAATTGTATAATAAATTTGAAGCGGAAAGCATACAACAAGTTCAGAAGAACCAGAAATGAAGAACATCGTGCATATAATGATCTAAGAAATTATTTAGGAATAGCTCTGAAGAATGAAAAAACTGCTTACATAAAATTCCAGCTTAATAAGTATTATAATAATCCTAAACAGATGTGGAATAGTTTCTCCAGGTGGAATATACACAAAATCCAGTAAACACATATCACAGGACATTGAAAACGCTGAAAGCATCAATAATCACTTTATTAACTCTGTACCAAACCTGCAGCCAGATGACTTATTTCTTAACACATTCTCATATCAAAAAAAATCTATAGTATGCAAGTCTTCATTTAATCATGTTACATCAGACCAAGTTGAACTAAAACTGAAAGAAGTCAAGTCAAATGCTGCGGGTGTTGATGGTATCACTAACAAACACGTTGAGAAACGTGTTCTCTTTTTGTAAATATCAGCTAACCAGTATCATCAACCAATCACTGAGTACAGGGGAAGTGGAAGTGGAAAAAAGCAGTCATAACACCACTTGCAAAAGTTAATAATGCCATCGATTTTAAGGACCTCAGACCAATAAGTGCTTTACCTTCAATGTCCAAACTGTTAGAGAAAATTGTAGATGATGAACTTCGTGAGCATCTAGAAATCAACAAAGTGTTGCCTGACACCCAGTCTGGGTTTAGGAAATTACATAATACATCTACAGCGCTTATTAAAATTTCCAGTGATATAGTGAAATTTATAGACGATGGCATGATAACGCTACTAGTCATGCTAGACTTCAGCAAGGCATTTGACATGGTAAATCACAGAGTTTTGTGTGAAAAACTGCACTATTATGGTTTGACCGGAAATGCCATGCTGTGGTTTAGTAATTACTTGTTTTATAGATCTCAATGTGTAAAATTGCGTGATAAAGTGTCTACTTTACGAGCTTTGAAGTCTGGTGTTCCACAAGGCAGCGTTTTAGGCCCTATTTTATTTACTTTTTATACCTCAGATCTGATAAAACATATATCATCTAACTGGAATGTACATTTGTATGCGGATGATGATTACAAACCATGTCAACCAACCGATGTAAATTCTTTAATATTAGGATTTAATAAAAATTTAGACATAATTGAACAGTACTCAAAAAATCATTGTTTGAAGCTCAATCCCTTGAAAACCAAAGTATGTTGTGTTGGTTCTAGACCAGCGATTCTGGAGTGTAAAAAAATAATAAATACGAACATATTTTAAGAAGGAATTAACATTGAATTTGTTGAAGAAACAAAGAATTTGGGAATAGTACTTGATAAGAATTTAAGTTTTGAAAGTCACATTATAAATAAGCTCAGAATATGTTATTATAAATACAAATCGCTATGGAGATATAAGTATATATTAACAAGTGATATCAAACTAAAACTTGTTAATGCATTAACACTCACAGATTTAGATCATTGTAGTACAGTATATTATCCTTTTATCACTGAGGAAATGCAACAGAAAATTCAAGTTTTACAAAACCATTGTATGAGGTTTTGTTTCAATGAGATAAACAGACGCGAACACATTGCTGGGTATTATGTAATGGAAAATCTTTTAAAGTTCAAATATCGCTCGTTACTTCTCTATGCTGTTCTACTATTTAGGGTTTTAAAATATAAATCTCCGAAATATCTTTTTGACACGTTAGAGAAAAGATCTTCACTCCATCAACTGTTCCTCCGTAATGAATATTGTTATAATATACCAGCCCACACTACCTCAAAATTCAAAAAATGTTTCTATTACATAGCTCCCAGTATACTAAATGATTACCCAAGTTTCTTTAAATTAACGTCCATTCACAGCTTCAAAAGAGAATTCAAAAGAATGCTATTACAGTTACAATTCAATGAATCTACAAGTGGCTGAATAAATCTCATTATTAATCTTATTATATTTTATAGTTTTGTTAGCATTATTATAGTCAACTACATATCCTTTATGTAATGTATATGATATACCCTAGT